CGTGCGACCTTACAGTAGTAGAGGTCGCACGGCTTCCACACACCTTATGATCGCGGGAGTTCTTGCGATTATCGTACGATTATCGTAAGGTGTGTGGGGACCTTAAGACTAGACACCAAAAGGAGATGAAGCAGACTGGTGAGCTCATCCCTCTATCTCTTCCTCTGTCTCCCCCTCCTGTCAGCATGTTCCTTGAACTGCGGCACACCTGCTCGGCTCCTTGAGCTGCTTTTTCCTCAGCTTCTCTGAGCCCTGCTGTACAGGGACGGCAATAGGCTGATGTGGGTCAAATTCAGTTACGCTTACACTGCTCACATTTCAGAAAAACACATGTAATGATGCATTAATGATTCCAGAGCTACCTATATGTATCATTCCTATTGGCCCACAGTTGAGCTGCAAGTATAATTTTATGCAGGCAGCGTGTTACCATCACTTTCTACCCAAACTAAAAATGTGCTTTGGATGGAGCACGTCTTGAAATATAACCGGCTTTTTCTAAATGTTTAATGTTTTGTTTTTTTGTTAATGGCTTGTAAAAACCTTGTTCCTTTTAATTACACTGCGATATGTACAAGGTGGTAACAAGTGTGAATAATTTATTTATAATCCCTCTTGTCATTTTTTCGCTTCTTCAAAAGGTTGTGCTAATGCCTTCTACAAGGCAAAATGACTAGAACGCGACCCAAATTAAAGCCTATTTATTAGACTCCAAAGACCCGTGGTGAAATGTAAAAATGAGAGTTTTTTTTGGTCCTTCTGAAGAAGCTCGGGTTAATTAAGGACAATCACATCTCTCTTGATGCATTTGTACCCTAGAATACATTGGCGTGTTGGGGTGTAAGAATTTCCAGCCTACGGTCCGATATTAAAAGCTTTAGAAAGCCGATATTAAAAGCTGTAGAAGCCCTGTTGAGCTCAGAAATTGCAGACACCTCCAGCATCCAATCAAAATTCATCTCTCACCAGGCTTACTAAAGAAGACAGAAATCGATTGGTTGCTCTGAAGTTCTGCATTTTGCCCCTCATTACACTTATCCTTTGTATTGCGAAAAATGGATCTGATATTGACCCTTGTATTACCCAAGCACCTGTCAGGAATGGATGCAGACACCTTAGTCGGAGTATATAGTGGCGAGTTGCTTCACCTCTAGCAGCCGCCTTTCTCTTCAAGGAGAACTATGAGGTGAGTGATTTACACTCATCCTCATAGTCAGAGCCAACATGTGACAATGAAGCTGTCATAGGCAGAGCCAGCTGTCAATCAGCCAGCAGGGTGGATCTTGACAGCATTGTCGGGTTCCATCCCATCTATGGTGCTCTCTGTATATATCGTGGGCAATAGCCTGCTGTATACTGAGCTTTGGGTCATGGAAGGAGGTTAGTATATGTCCTCCTGTGACCCTAAAGAGAACTATGGGATGAAAAGGTTACCCCATAGTGCTCTTTTAAGGCTTGTGCGCCTACCGGTACTTAGATCCCCCAGGACTTAAAGTATACACTGTGGCTATAAATGTCACAGGTGGCCCTCAGCAACAAAGGAGTAGTACTGACTGGTGACAAAACAAAAGATATAAACAGAAATGTAAGGTAGCAGACAGGTTCTGGAAACAAAATATAAGACAGGAACTGGTTACAAGACAAAGGCCACGAGAGAGAAGACTGTACAGGATTCACCACGACTAGAATGCAAGATTCAAGGTCAAGATGTACACAAAGCAAGATAACGACTTGTGCAGACAGGACTAGACTGAATTATCACAAGCTCAGTGCCCTGAGCTAAATAAAGTGTCACTAACCAACCCCCAGGCTGAGAGGAACGTGTAGGCAGGCTGATTAGCCTGATCAGTGTGCAGCTGACAAGAGGGTATGTGGCCACCAGCAACCTCCAGAGGGAGCTGAGAGTTTTGGACAGGCATAGGAGCATTAGACATGCTCCTAACAACAACCTAAAGTCTTAAATGCTACCCAAACCTGTTTTTTGCTCCGCTGCTCTGGCCTCCCTTTATTGGCTGGGGGATTACCATTCCTAGTGGTGAACCTGTTCTCTGCCAATGGGAAGGATTGATTGGCTGGTGTTGGTTAGACGGTCCCCCTTTGGCAAAGAGCAGTTGAGCGTCGTCCTCAGCAAAAGAGATCCCAGAGAAGTCCACAGGTAAGTATTCAACAAATTTTGTAAGCAGTAATAGTGTCAACATAGGTTAGCTTTTTTTATTATGCAAACAGGTCCACTTTAATTCTGGTTGTATTGGAAACCATTAGCTCTTGGTTCTAAAGGGCCAATTTAGCATCTACAGCAACATGTCCAAAATCATCTGCAGAGATCTGATTGTCTGTGGTGGTTAGATAGATCGGTAGCTGTGGTGGTGGATAAATCTCTCTTCTTCCTTCTTGCAAGGTAATTTATACTCAAGTCACATGTAAAAAAAAAAAGGAGATACAAGAGAAAGGGGCTGAAGTTTGTCCCCCTTTTTACACCTGCTTTTCTTTCTGTCCCCTTGCAAAGATGGCACAACTCCACCCACACTAATTTTTTTTATCTGTTGAGGGCTCATGTGGTAGCATGAGTCCTCAACATCTTTTGAGGACTCCATGCATCTGTTGATTCCTCATCTGTTGAGTCCACCTGTATCTACCTCTTATCTACAAAGCCATAAAGATTGCGCCACTGCCAGTGCCCCGGTGATTTATTCTATTTTCAGCTGAAATCCTTTGGGGTGGCTTGACACCATCAGGGCAAGGAACCGAGCACAACAACTATGTACCCCTGGACTTCAGTTTGTACGAGAGCATTGTATATAGCAAGCCTTTTACAAAGCTTTCAGCCAACTTCCAATTGCTTTGTTGAAGACTTTACCGCGACCTTTAGCATCAGCTTGGAGATGTTCCATGGGATAGGAGCAGGAGCTGTACTTTGAAAGCTCTCTAAAGCTTACTGAAAGCTTTGCAAATGCTTTGTGAAGGCTACACAATAAATCAACGTTTAAATGTTGCCCCGCCAATCCCCCTCCGTACATTTTCGAATAAATAGCAATGTGAATACTTTTTTTCTTTCTTTCTGGTCATGACCATCATGTCATCATGACTGCACATCAGTCTGTGTTGTGGAGGGCAAAGAACATAGTTGGGTCCCATAAAGCAGCGTCTTTACCCGCCGGCGTTGTCAGTTAGTAGAGAGTTCACACCCACCATCCGCACAGGAAAAGATATTTACATTGCAATTGATTAGAAAATGTACTCGGGACAATGGGGAGGCATCATTATAAAATGTATTGTGTAGCCTTTCCTTCTGCTTATAATAAAGGGAATTCAGTTACACTTGGCACTTTGCTCCTTGCACCTAAAATATGTGGCAGGTGGGTGGAATTGGATCTTTTGCAGGGGTATCATCAAAATTCCTGAGAAATATAAATCTATATACAAGATTCAAAGACCCAGCAAAGATAGCATTGGCTTTTAAAGTACTGCTGTTTATTAAAAGCAGAATTTGTCAGTTTCCTGCGGTGTATAGGAGAAATATGTCCTTAAAAGTTTATTCTGTACATTTCCTTGGACTTGGGGCAATAGTGTTGGGATTTGTGATGGATTATCCCAAGTGGGGAGTGATGACCCTGTCTGCCTTGTCTTGATTGTTTCCAACTTTCCAATTTTATTGCACTTTTTCCCATTCTACTGTGCACACACACATCCTGAGACATTTTGCTTCATTTTAGGCTGCAGAATTTTGGTGCCGATAACTTGGAGCATTGTAGATGGGAGTCTGAGATTTCAGTATCAGAATTTGCGATGTGATAAGAGTTTTCATGGTGGCATTTCCAGTATACCTTTTGTATGAGCCTGGGGTGAGTTTAGTGGTTAGGGTCCAAAATCCAGTGTACTTATCGCACTAATGACCGAATAATACCCTTATTATTCGGTCGGGTGGGTGCCAAAGTGACTGCAGATGCCTCTGCAATCCAAGATAAGTATATGTATCAAGTCACCCGCACTCCAATAGGATTTCAAGTCAAAAACGGTTTATTGACTTGATTGCCATCACATCTTATAGCAATATATTGCTGTGTGATGGCAATCAAGTCAATAAACAGTTTTTGACTTGAAATTCTATTGGAGTGCGGGTGACTTTATACATACACTTACTTTAGTGGTTAGGGGTTGCCCTATGTTGTGCTTTGCCCATGCAGGACAAAGCAACAGGTCCACTTAACTCCACCAGTATAACAGATGATAAATGGCAGTGGAACTCCCGCACCGGGAACTTTTTTTTTTTAATCTAAAGAATAATGTACTAAATGTAAGCAGTTTATGGAGTCTCACGGGAGGTTTCTTAGGGCTCGTAGCATCTACATTCTTCTCATCATGTATCCTTTGCACCAACAAAAATGTAATCTACACAACTGCTTTCTTCAAAATTTAACAAAACAACTTTTATTCAGTTCAACTTTATTGCTTGTGGACGTCCAACTTCTGCCAGACACAAGCTCCTCCTGGTATAGGACCTAATTATGGAGGCTCCATGATGAAGCCTTACAACAGGGCAAAATTGGTCAGATGTGTGTCTGGCAGAGGTTGGTCACCCTCGGAATAATGGAGGAGAAGAATATAGATGCTACAAGCCCCAAGAAACCTCCTGTGAGACTATAAACCACTCATGTTTTGTAAGTAAGGCTTCAGCTTCTTGTTGGTGTATCTCAAGTGGTAGATGAAACACAATTATGGCCAGAGCACCCATGGCTGGTCTCTCATTTAAATTCAGCCTGGGAGCTTCAGTCTAAATTTTACTGCATCTTGAAGTGGATGTGTGTCCAGTGCAGATTAAAACATGAAGGCAGAATCTTTTTGCTTCCATTAATACTCCATACCTTTGTTCTGAGACGATGCATGCCTGTTTTCCAGGTATCTCTTTGGTATTTTCAAATGCCATGTGTGAATATTCTCCTGGATGGTGGCATCAACCAGTGGAGCATAATGCTTGGCCTCTAATCTCTCTTACCTTTCAGCCTTCGAAGATCACGACAGCGCCGTGGACGACCGGGACAGCGATTACCGTAGCGAAACCAGCAACAGCATTCCACCACCCTACCACACCACCTCTCAGCCCAACGCCTCCGTCCACCAGTTCCCTGTGCAGCCGCGACTGCAGCAGCAAGGCGGTTCCCGAGAGTCCTGTGTAGACTCCATGCAGAGCTACGACCTGGACTTTCGGGAGAGGAGGACCATGAGGTAAGTGCTGCCGAATGGAGAGCGTAAGATTTCTGGTACCTCAAGTAAGGGTTTTTGTTGTTCCGTGCAATCTGATTCTGAAATGTCCTTTTAAAATATATTTAGGAGCAGAAAATTCAAAAGCTCATCATACTGGACCAGAATTGTTTATAAGTCCTTGTGAGTCTTCATTAATCTTCTTTTTTTTTCCTGGTAGGTCACTGATTTTTAAAACGCGTGTTTCCAACCAAACTTTTTTTTCTTTTTTATGGATCGAGTGCAGAGATGTTAGAACCTCTGTTAGGTCTTTTTGGTGGGTGTGCAAGGAGGAAACCACCACCAGCAGAAAAGTCCAGATTTGTTTTTTTTCCGGCTGTTATGTCATAAATAGCCAGCGCATTTCAGGGGCTCAAAGGGTATACCTTCCACAGGGCTTGGTGCTGTGGAACAAGGTGGGTACTTGACTAAAAAATTGGAGGGGTCGTTCAAGATGGCAGTGAAGTCTTTAGGCGATCCTACTAATTATCCCTCCAGATCCCTTCAGTTTTATCAGCCCGGCGCACACTTTGTTCAACAGTATAACGCCTCGATGAAGGGGGACCCTTTTGAACCCCAGTAACGGCCTTTGGCTTTTTATAACATGGGTCTGAATGAAATCAAAACTTTAAACATTCTACTTTTAGTGATTTTGTAAAAAATTTCTCCTTGCACATCCAGTTCATACCCAAACAAAGAGCAGACCATCGGCCACTAGTCCTGGGAGAGCTGCCAGAGAAGAACCATACTCTCCACACTAAAGAATGATTGTCCAAGTTGTCCCCATCGTAAGAGTTTACGTCTCTTCTATTCTGATGACAACTGAACAAATATTGGATTTCCCATCACTTCAATCATGAAGCGATGGTCACCAAATTAAATAGGGGGAGGGTGATTCTATGGGGTAAAGGAAAATAAAATAACCATTTCTATGCCTACCGCACTCCATCCAAAACAAAAATAGAAAAAGTTTGGTATTAAAGAAGAGCTCGGATTTTTAGGAGAGTTAAATTTTATGGGAATTGGCGTGACTCCTTCATCGTAAACCAATTAGAAAAAAAAAACTTTATTCAATCGAGCAGAGTGGAAAAACCCGATAGTTGAAAAGCTCTTGATTTACTTGTATGAATGGGTATACAGCATTAGCATTAGGAACTGCTGACATCTTTGAATGCAACCATTTAGCACACATACCTGCTTTCCTTGCATCATTATCTGCACAGGCATTCAATGGGGAACGCTCTGAGCCTTCTCCTGCCCTTTGCTTAGCTCTTCCTGACATCAGAGGCTAAATGGATGCATTGAGCTAAATAGGTCAGTACACGCCGGCCCAAGGCATAACGTTCCTTTCATACTGCATTGTCTCGAACACTCCAGTGACGAAGTCTAGTGGAGCTCTGATCAGTGTCAATTTTCTCTTTGTCAGTGCAGTGAATAAGACCTTAAACTTTTGTAGATTTAGAGCAAGGACCTGCTCAGCTAAAACTTGCTAAATGAAATGGTTGTTGAACTATGAATCCCCTTCAGGTGTGTATAGCACCCGTCAGAGTTCTTCTTTAAAGTTGGATGGGGAAAGATTTGCACTTTGTTTGTAGTCCACAGAGGTGATTCTGAGCCGAGTGTGTGAGTTGTGACGGCTCAGACCTGTGAGAAAAAATTTTATGCATTTGTGCTCAATTCAAATTGCGACCTTCTCCAGGTACCTGATGCCAGCTCTGGTTCCCCTGTAGAACACCTAGGCCGCTCTGTAATGCACAGTTGCTGTGGGTTTTGTTCTGGACCCACCCTCTGCACCCATCTGTTGAGCCATCACTGTGATGGGCAGCCACGTCATGTACCAGCAGCCATAGTAACCTACATGAGGGGGCATGGCCCAAGATGTGACCAGGGAAACTGGTGAGCAAATGCATTATATAGTAGCCTAGGTTATGAGGCTCCTAAGCACTCTTCAGGTGATGGAAGAACTGGAAGTGTTTACAATTTTTTTTTTTTCCCCCCACAGGTCCATTTTAAAGCTAAACTCCAGGCAAGCATGTAAACACACATATAGAATTCTTATATGGGCATGGTTTTACCTGCCAAAGGGATTTTTAACCTGGTTCAGCCAAGCTTGTCATTCAGGTTCCCCTGCCAGACTGCACAACCACCTCCTAGATCTCCACTGCAGCAGCAGAACAGCTTGGTGAAGAACACACCCGTACCTTGTTGATTGGCTAGTGAAGGAGCAGCAGCTCACTGATGAGTCCTACCTTTGCTCTCCCAAACTCTCCGACTAGGAGAGGGAAGTACCACCACTGGAAGCACATGTGCTGAGGAGGAACATGCTGGGTGCCGCTGGCAGCGTATTAAAGACTTCTGGCAAGGCACATTTTGCTTCTTGCCCTAGTTACTTTGAAAATACAATTATTTTGTTTTGTTTTGTCTGCCTGGAGTTCAGTTGCACATGTCACTTACACATAGTAAAGAAAGGTAATTTATTCTTACTTTACAGTTTTACTAGGACTTTCACTTTGGAGGCTCTCCGTGTTGGGGAGCACATTTTTGAGGTGGGGTTTGTCTTTACAATGAAACGCCTGATGGGGTACAATTGAAATGGATGATACTTCTTCTGTGGATGCTGTTTGGAAGGCCACCATTGGACCAGTTCCAGACTCATCCATCTGGAAGGAGGCCACAAATCGTGCCAACATCAGACCAGTAAAAGGTTAATGCTGAGCATCTGTGCAAGTGTGATGGGAGCCATTGTCTCCTGCCGGGGTGGGGGATAAATAGGCAGGTTTCTTCTTAAAAAAATACTTATTGTTGCTGTTCATCCTCCTCACTTCCCATATATTCTGGATATAATGCTTATTTTGTCTAGGGGGAATCTTACAGAGAGATATTTACCTTAATCCATGGTCCTGAGGCAGTTGATGCTCCGGGCCTTATTTTCTCCCGTCCTGGAACGTGGACTGGCTCGCAACATCCTTCTTTAAAATGCACCACCCGCAGCGGCCGCTGGTCCCACATTCTACGTGATAGCATTGGCCAAAGGGGAGGTGACAACGAGCGAGAAAGAGGATCAGTTGTGACCGACTTTGGTGTAGGGTAAGTATTCCTCATATTTAGAGCTCCTTATGGCTAAACAAGCATTGTATCCTGAATATACCGGGAGTGGGACAGTATGGACACTTCTTTTTACTGTGTCCATCCCAAACACTGCAGACAGCTGTGGACTTAATAATTTGCCTTAGATCCATTTTTTTAATAACTGACACATACTTCACATCTCTCAAACAACCAAAAGCGATGTTTTCTAAAGCAAAAAATTTAAATTATGTGAAGTATTTGCAAGTGTAAACAGTCATTTCCTTCCTAAAGCTTTAATTTCTAGCAGAAAGTCCTAAAAAATGTGATGCCTTTCACCATCTGTTATTGAACTCATGGAACACACATTGTGAATCTAGACCTGCTTGGTTACTGAAGTCCCTCTTACATTTAGGCCCCGTTCACATTGAGCGATTTATCGCGCGATTTTTGTAGCGATATCGCTCATATTTCCGCACTATATCGCTCTATGTAGCTTCACCAATACAATTCAATGTAGCTGTTCACATCTCGTCGCTCAATATCGCTCAATATCGCTTGTAGCTCGTCGCTGGTAGCTTGTCGCTTCTACATGACCCTTTTTTAGAGCGATTTTGAGCGATATTGCTCCTGATTGCATACAGCCCAATAGGAAGATGTCGCGCGACACGTCGCTCAACGTCGCGCGATTTGCATGTCGCTCAGCAATATCGGGGTCTTAGGGGCCCTCCAGGAGAGAATTCAGCTCCATTTAGACCCCATTCACACTGAGCGACATGGAAATCACGCTACTTTGAGCGACATTGAGCGACCTGTCGCGCGACTTCTTCCTATTGGGCTGTATGCAATCAGGAGCAATATCGCTCAAAATCGCTCTAAAAAAGGGTCATGTAGAAGCGACAAGCTACCAGCGACGAGCTACAAGCGATATTGAGCGATATTGAGCGACATTGAGCGACGAGATGTGAACAGCTACATTGAAATGTATTGGTGAAGCTACATAGAGCGATATAGTGCGGAAATATGAGCGATATCGCTACAAAAATCGCGCGATAAATCGCTCAATGTGAACGGGGCCTAACTTACAAAGACTGGCTGTTGAGTGAATTACAATCCTTATCTCATTAACTTCCACAGGAGAGCCAAGGGCTTTGTGATGCCCAAGTCCCAAATCTGAAATCGGGGATGCTAACTTGCACTGGTTGTGTGGGGACTTGTGAACATACTGTAGGTTCCTGCACAGTTTTGTATGTACGTATGTTAGCAGCCTTCCCAACAACCAGTGCTTGTTGGAACAGCGGTTGTCAGATACCTGATCAGACCTCGCACAATTCAGAAGTTAATGAAATGAAGGCTATAAATCACTGAACAGCCCTTAACTTGGAAGAATGCAGCAGAGGTTTGAAAAAGAAGAATGGTACAGATATTGAACTGTAATCTTTAGTAGTATTTTACAGGTATTGCTCATCTCGGTAATAAAGAGTCGTTCGCAAATCATGATGATAAGCTGTTCTGTATCATGCTGTCTTCTGCACTGTTTCTACTCTTCCTTTTTCTTTCCTTTCAAGGCGATATGATAGCGTAGATTCCACTGCAAATGGACGGCACGACCTAGAGTCTGCGTCTGAATCTAGTCAGCTGACAAGCCGCCACTGTTCCTTAGAGAGCAGGCATTCTCTAGATCTGTCTGATAGGTGGGTCAACTTGTCCGTTACCCCCCGTGCACCCCCTGCTTGTTCCGTGGTTTTGTCCTGTGCAATGCGCGTTGTATGTCCTCTATGTCGTTGCTGTGCACAATTACATCCCAAATGTAGCTAATCATGTCTGTCCAAGTGTGATGAGGACCATTGCCTCCTGTGGGTGTGGAGTTGAAACAGGGAGTTCCTTCAATAACCATATTGTGTAGCTTTTAGTGAATGCCAACAACAATAGCCAAGAATATTTCCTTTAAACATGCCTTGTCCTCACTTCCTAGAGGTCTTTATTGCATTTTGTGTCTCTGAAAATGTTTGCCCTCCCTTGCTGTCCCAGTGACCACTGGTTTTGGGACAAGAAGTGAGGCATGGTCTTGCCAACTGGGATACAACTATGGAACCCCAGAGGTTCTTACACGTCCTAACTCTATACAAAACGTAAGGCCTATTCTAGCATTTTGTGCCTTCGTTTAGTATGCACTTTCCAATGGCGGTACTAGAAGCCAACCTCAAGTGTTGGGGCAAAGTCTCAAGACACTAGCACTCCAAAGCAGTCCATAATTCACTACAGAGGACAAAACTGTGGTGGGGAGGGTGTCTAACAAGGGTCCTTAACCATCAATAAATGTGCCAACCCATCATATTACAAGTCCAATTTGTGAATCTTGATAACACTCCCTGTTGGCGGCATAAAAAGGGTTGCGTAGTAAGGCCTGCGAGGTGGAACTCCATAAAACAGAACATGGCCAAAGGTTTGTGGATGCCTGACCTTCACAACTTCCAGGAATTGTGCTTCCATCTTTGTGGTAATAGTTTGGGGAAGGGCCTGTTACACTATGACACTGCCCCTGTGGACAAAGCCAGCTCCGTAAAGACATAGGTGTGGAGAAACTCAAATGATCTGCACAGAGCCTTTGGAATAAATTGGAATGCCGATTGTGAGTCACGTCTTCCTGGTTGTGGAATGAGATGTCCCAACAAGCTTATATAGATGTGAGGGTCAGGTGTCCACATCAGTTTGGCCATGTAGTGTATTTTAGAAGATTCTTGTTTAAAGTAAATAGGTAATGAGAGAAATATGAGAGCTGCCATCATGACCTCCTAATGGAAATGCTAATGGCCTGGGTGTTATGAAAATCTTATGTCTTCAATGCTATGTCACTAATCTAAAGCAAACCTGAAGATTAGGAAAGTAAATTCAGGAAGTTTTATCTGCAGATTTGCTCCAGGAATTATTTCGGACAGATGGTCAGTATGACCTCCACATTGACATGTTCTAAATTTCTTTTTACAGCCAGCTACAGTCCTACAGTCCTGTGAGCCTTCTATTCAATTTTCCTAACAAAGTGTAATGTGCAAAATTAAAATATGGCTTATATGATGCAATCAGTCAGTAGCAATAACATAGCGGTTTATTGCTTTTCTGAGTCCTCCTTGTAACCATTCACCTGTTAATACTGCTAGTAACTTCTCTTGACTGCTCTCAGTTTTGGGTTTTACCCTTGGGGTTGAACCTTTGTCCAAGAGATGCCCAGCCCCCACAAGTATTGTCCTGAGCCTCTATGTAAGATTTCTCTCCTCTGCTCCAGTCGTAGTCACAGTAAGGTCCAGTTTGCTCTAATTTGCTTGCTTTGTGACATAATGCCCAACTCCAACTAACACATTTTAAATAAGAACTCCATTGAATAATTAACCCTTGCAGTGGGGCTACCTCATGCACTGTAAGGGTTCACTGCTCGTTTTGGTCTAGGGGTTAAAATAAAGAAAATACACTCGCCTGATCCTCTGTGCTGCTTGGTTGCTAGACCCCTCTTTACTGCCTCTTTACCTCCCAGGCTCTGGCAGTGTAAGTACACATGACATCATCTCATCTATTGAGCATATCTTCATTTTAGCCCTAGACCAACATGAGCAGTCCAGCTCCACAACGGTTACAATACAAATAAAAGGTGACTATTGTAAGCACCGGCATCCTTGTTTCTCCCAATCCCTCCAACTACCACTTTTGCCTGACACCTTGGCCTGTTAAAGGTAAATAAGACCTCTACTGGCAGGATCGAGAGATAATAAAACGATGTTACAGGGGGATTCAGAAAACCAAAAACTGGTGTCAGTGCAACTGACAGACTACATCATATGACATTTTCTTTGTTGCCCATAGCTACGCTTTAATGTGGCAATTTTTTGTAACCTGTAAATCCTGCAAGCAGATCTGCTAAAACCAGCTCTGTTAATGTTATTGACAGACTGCTTAGCACTTTTTGTATCTGCCCACCCATAGTTCCAATTTAACATCGCCCTTAAAATATTTTCTAAATCCTTCGGAAGTGGTGACCACTCCTAAGATTATCCTTTGCAGAATATTAATTTCATCAGTGCTACAAATACTCCACTTTTGTTGAGAAAAAACAATCCCCTCTGGGTGATCAGTGTACATTGCAAGGATTTTCACTAGGGATGCACCGATTGCGATGCTAGTATAGGTATCAGTACCGATGCCGAGTATTTGAGCGAGTACTCGTCCATATGCTCCGATACCTAGCCTGATACTTGAGCTTCCGGTATCAGGAAGCCGGGCAGCGAGTCATTACACACTGCCCGACTTCCTGATTTAGCCAAGAAGCCGGCTCCATGCTCTCTTGTCACTTTTGATGAGGGAGCATGGAGCCGGCTTCTTGGCTAATCAGGAAGCCGGGCAGCTTGTAATTGCTGACTGGCTTCCTGGTTGGTCGGGAAGCTGGCCAATCAGGAAGCCGGGCGCCATGTAAGGACGCGGATCCCGGCTTTCTGTTTGGCCAGGGAAGCCGACTTCATGCTCCCTCATCCCCTAGTGACGAGAGAGCATGGAGCGGGCTTCCCTGGCCAATCGGGAAGCTGCGGCACCCGGTTTCCTGATTGGCCAGAAAGCTGGCTACATGCTTTCTTATCATCTAGTGACGAGAAGCATGGAGACGGCTTCCCTACTAATCGGGAAGCCGGGTTGTGAGTCTTTACTCGCCGCCCGGCTTCCCGGCTAATCAGGAAGCCAGGCGGCGAGTCATTTCACGCCGCCTGGCTTCCTTAATGGGACTTCCAGTATCTGTGCTCGTTATCGGCGAGTGCCGAAAAAAAATATTGGTACTCGATGCCGAAAAACCGGTATCGGTGCATCCCTCATTTTCACAAACTTTGTTGCACATTCCTATCTTTCTCTGTTCTGAAGAAAAACCATTTGGTTCACCATATCCTTTTCTAACTGGTTTCTGAATGGGTGAGTCAGGTTCCTTATAACCACCTGGGGCACTTTCAGTGTTCTAATGAGGAAAGTTGCAGGGTCTGGATCCCTTCCGGGAAAATGTGTGAACCAATCGCACAAGTAGGAAATTACATGTCCAACAGTGCTCTGAACTGTACAGAACACTTCCAGGATGCCATATTGCATCACATTTTTTTGAACAGCGGCATCAGATTAAAATTGAAAGATCATTTTTAATAACGGTAAATTACAAAATAGCTTGTCCAGCACTTTCACATGCATGCATGCATGCATACATACCTACCTACCTACCTACCTACAATGAAAGTGGAGTTTTCCTTTAAAGATTATAACACAGTGTCCTGTAAGGGTATCTATGTAGAGTCCTGTAGAGTTTAGATTGACCACCGTGTTGTATGCAATTTTTGTTGATGGCAAGTTTTTGTTCCGCTTAAAAACAATGCTGCAATTGCCAGATATTCTGCTTTTTTATTTTCCCCCTTTTTTGTTTTATTTTATGAATTTTAATAAGTGGGTATGTAAGCTGTTTTGGTCACATGAACAGTGTTTTTATTGCTTTATTTTTTTCTTCTGTTTCCCCCCCCCCCTCTTTTCTCCCCTTCCTTACTGATACCTTATACATATATGGTAGAAATCCCTCCTTAGTTAGAAAAAATAAAATTAGAATCATTCCTGTAGAGACAGGGGCTGTCGATAAAGAGTGGGAAGATGAATGTGAAACCATAGGCAAGCAGCTCATAGAGGACTTCCTGCAGGAGAGTCGGAAAAATTGGCAGGTAGCCAACCGGGCAAAGAGAAACCTGGACATAGAAATGCGGTTCGGCCTTCAGGAGTTTACACCCAGTCAAGGCTTGGTTCCAAAATCTTTTTATCACCATCCAGAACAGCACAACGCTAATGGCAGACGGAAAGGAAGAAAAAAATCTTCCAGCCAACGTCTTCAAAAGGTTAGCAATGGAAATGCACAAAAGAGAACGCCAGGCCCGCGAACTCCAAAAGCACAGGATGCTCAGCGCACAAAAGACGTTATTTGGTCCGGTTCATCGCTTAAGAGTAATGACGAACCCATCATCTCTTTATATCCTGTTTTAAGGCCCTATAAAAACGGCTTGCTGGTGAAGAGTGGAAAGCCAACTTATAATGCCGATCAAAAGGATGTAATTCAGATTAAAATATGTCAGCAAACGGTGGACAAGGAGCCAGGCATAATAGGTCACAGTTCTTCGCTTGATACTCTGGAGGAATATGACAGCAGTGCTTCGGATGATCAGCTGTCGCCAATTTCTGGGGATGAGTTGGAAGAACTAGCCTTACTTTCGCAAAACTGGGGTGGTCCTAGCTTGTTTTACTCCAATGGGTTCACTTTAAATTCCTTAAACTCAGGTTCACGTGATTTAAAACCTGGACATTATACAAATAGCAGAAAATATGGCTGCTCCATGCACAGCCTTAAGCTATCCCCAGTTGAGGAACCCAATGAAGAATATGTAGATACGATGGATGAGTTACAGTGTTTAGTTGAATCCGTTTCAGAATACTTGGCTGAGAAAGAGGAAGAGATTAATAGGTTTCACCCTTTACCGGTCAGTAACGTAAACAGCGGTGGGGTTGCAAAGAAACAAAACCTTGAAGATAAATTAGAAGACATGACTAATGACCTAAACAAGGGGAGCTCAAATAACGAAATTAAGTCTGAATCGCTTCCTGATTTGTCCGGCATCAAAAACACAGTGAACTCTTTATT